ACTAATAAGCGAAGTAACGATAGACAAAGCCCCCTACTTATATATAACCTCACAAGCTTATATATATTCCATAACTCTAATCAAAATTCTCTTATGGGTAGATAATATAATTGATACAGTAGTTAGAGAATATATATTAGATTGAGTATGATGAATGTAGATATAATTTAACAAAAAATATCGACTATAAGAAACATGAATAGTCTCCAGGGGTAACACCCGGAATTCCAGTGTAAGCGCGTTTTGGAGATATAATGTTCAATTCAGTGATATAGGTCCCCCCCACCCAAACGAAGGTCACCCATATAGAACCTATAGGCTCAAGGAGATACATAGCTCTATATAGACTTCTCGCTTGTTGACCCAGATACATTCCTTGTACGTGCTCGTTATTAAGAGGTTTCAGTTGTGCCAGAGTAACTCTCTTGCGAGTTGGTTCAGATTTTTACTGTTTTAGATTATGACTGCCCTCACATGTTGTCCCAGAGGATCTATTTCCGAGATTACATATTCGCAAAAAGTTTGATGCAAAAAATGAAAACGAAACGAAATCAAATACAAAGAAGAGATTACTGCTACAAATAATTTACATGCAAACGAAGTTAACGAACAGAAATAGTAATACAAAGAAAACCCTGCTGCAGCAAATCAAATCGTGCATCAAACATCCGGACAACACCCAGAGGCAAGTCTGATACTAATCCAAACAACATCCTGACTACAGTAAGATTCGTTTGCATGTAATCTGTTTGCAAATAAGTAATCTGTCTATTTCCTGCATCGCTAGTAATTTAGTGTACAGGCCCGGTGACCCCCAAAACACTAGTGAATTCGGACCATCACGCCCAGAAAACGCTAACGATTTCACCTACGCCGGCCCTATATCGCTAGCGTGAACCACCTGCCCGCATGCAAGCTCCCAAAACGCGCTTGATCTATGTTTACTGAAATCATCAGTTACTTCATAAGGTGAAATTTACCCTATTTTGAGAACAGCGGACGTGAAGAAGAGAATTCTACTGAGAATGTATCATCAACAAAACCATATAAATATCATGTGATAAGTCAATGAATTAATGGTACGATTGGCAGGATTGCCGCGGGTATGAGAATCATTTACTTGCTATGGGAATTCCCATATGAGAAAACCCATAGGAATTCCCACAGAAATCCTGTGAGAATGGGAATTGAAATTCCGTACCCATGGCAACCCTGACAATGGTGGCTATCGGGCTAATAATCTGCAATTTAAAGCGGATCTGATGCTGTCCAGCTTTTATTCAGGTTTGATAGTTCATTTGTGCAGTAATGTCCAATTTTTTTGTAAAAAAATTGAAAATTCTACTGTGTTTATGCAAAACCCATCTTCTGCTAATTTTGATGAATCACTAGTTTTAAATGTGAAATCATTTTCAGTTTATGGAATTAAAGTTCCATGCATATTGCATTATTGCTGCCATGTGCCAATTTCGGAAGGGCATTAGAATACTTTTGATTAATCACGTGGTAACATAATTATGAATACAACCAATTGATTTTGTATTTTAACAGTTTCTATCAATGAATATTACCTCTTTTGAAACAATTTGGATGATGCAAGTTGGTTTAATAGTCTGATGGTATCAACTAGTATCCTGATAGAACAGTAAATGTATAAACACGCTAATTACTAAAATAGGGAAAAACAACAACAAATAATACGAATAATATAAACAAGGGGATAGAGAGAATAGAGCCTCTGTAGGTTGTGTTTTCATATAACATTGTTCCGTTAGTTGTGTATATATTCGGTATTCCAGTTTATAGCGATCACAAATAGAGCTACCAGACTTATCATATGGTAGATTTTCGAATTTTCATCTTGTGTGATTCTAGACAAGATAATATATCCAAATATACGAGTATTAAAATTGGGGGTAAAGAAACAAGTTATAGTGTATCATTGTCTGGTTGAGAAACTTTTATATAATTCCATACGACATCGCAAATCGGCTAAATTAATTAAATAGTTTACGTTGCAGTTTTGTAAACTCGAACAGACTATCAGATAACCATTAAGTAAATATAACAACATTCCAATAGGTTCTTCATATTTTATTTAAATATAAATAAGCTCTTGTTGACTTATTTTGAAATGGCGTTCGCCTATTCTCCCGTGAATTTTTCACTTCGATAGGGCTGTAATTGGGCTACTCTAGCTATACTAAACTTAGTCATATTGTAATTACCTATTTTTAGGAGAACAATAACTAGCTAAGTTTGTTTCTAATGAAATTGCCACAAAATACATTAGTTTCCTATAGTATATTATTTCGAAAATATTTTCGGATTTAAATTCCTACACATTTCCCAACCTTTTGATAAGAACCCCTTATTAGCCTATATAGACCCCCCTCTATAGATTACAACTTCCCGTGCACCCTTCAGGAGTCTATGGCCCCTAGGTTGGATCCAGGGTTTATACATAAATTTCTGGACCGTCACTTTTTCTTACCCTGGCTCTCCTGGGATGGCACTTTTTTGGACGGTGACATATTGATCCTGACTAATTTGAGTCTCATGGCCGGTACTTTTAGGTGCCCGCCAAGCACTTAGATAAACCCCTGGTTGGATCACTATCCTACTCTATAAATGAAGGGCGCCCAAATACGAGTTTTCAACACCTTATTTATAATTACACAACATTACCCTGTGTTATTAGCATGTCAGGCCTGAAGCTATTCACAGACCCCATATCACAGCCATGTAGGGCTGTAATGATTTTACTCGATATCAATAAAATCCAATTCGAAACGGTTCTGATACAAATATTGAAAGGAGAACATAAGACTAATCAGGAATTGAAGGCTGTAAATCCGAATTGTTTGATACCTGCATTGCTTGATGGGACTTTTTCACTTTATGAGAGTGGAGCTATTCTTAGGTATATTTGTAATACTCGGCCTGTTGCAGATAATTGGTATCCTAAGGACCCTAAAATACGCGCTAAAGTTGACCAGTATTTGGACTGGCATCACTCAGCGATCAGAATATCTACTGTTTGGTTTTTGGCACAGTATGTCTCAAAAAAACCTCCCTCAGACCCTGAGATCGTGAAAGTTAAGGAGAAATTGGTTGCTTCGCTTACAATCCTAGACAGTCATACTTTGAAAGAGAATAAATTCATTGCTGGAGAAAACATTTCAATCGCTGATTTGCAATTATTGTGTGAACTATCTGAATTCTGGATTGTCAACAAAAATATTTACGCTGGATTCCAGAGGATTGAAGAGTGGGTGAAAAATTGTGTCGAGTTGCTAAATCCACATTTCGACCACAATAACGCAGCTATTATGCAACTTAAAGAAAGTGGTGCACTTGGTTCCGACCCTGACCCACTCAAGTAACCTTTGTTCAGAAGTTAGTATCCATAGTCCATTTAGGGATTTATAGAGTTTGCTTCTCTTCTTCAAGCTTTGTATCCATATTTACGTGGATATATTGTATATTGAAACTAAAACTATTTTGTGTTTCAACATGATATGACTAGCATGGACAACTCACATACATTCTGGGTTGCTTAATGTGAAACACGAAGGGAGCAAAATCTTATTAATAATAAACAGACTTCATAGTAATGGAACTGAATTCAATATAATCCTTTGGAATGACTTTGTTCACAAGCAAGGATGAAAAGCTGTTAACTACCAATTTGACTGTTTGCGGTTAATAGCCACAATTCTCCAAGCAATCAACTGGTAAATTTGCAGCTATTTGAGCTCTTAAACCAAATTATTGCAGTAATCAGCCTAATTTGAATCATAACAAATAATTTTAAGCTCCCAATTTTAGGTAATACGTATTTATAGACAGGCCGTAATAAGCAGTTTTCAGTTTGTCAAGTTGAGCTAATATTTCCTAGGAAAATGGTGGAAAACGACTGAATGGTGGAACCAAGCAGAAATTGATATAAGTAGGCATAAAAACGATCAGTTTGTCGGATAATAGTTCATTAAAATATCGGTTGTATCAAATATTGATGCCAATTCTTCGGTAAAAGAAATCAAACATGGGGGGCTAAGGTATCGACAAATTTGGGAAAAAATCTCGATAATCAATTTCTAGAGCCAGGGTTACTCGGGTGGCTTGGCCAGAAACAGAATCATATAAATAGTGTTAAATTGCTCAGTTTAGTAGTCTAATACCTTTATTCCGCTTAAGAGGGTAAATTGGCCTGGTCCTGATGTGACCATGTGAAGCGGAGTCTAGTGGATATATATATATGTTCAACAGGGGTAATATGCGAAATTGGGCATTTTTGCATTAGCCATAATGCTGGATAATGTAGCTATTTGCTAACTTCTCAGGCATTTTGCAAAATGTCTCCTTCATTAGCCAATTTGCATAATGCCAAATATTGTGCAGTAGTAGGAGCCGCATAACCGGGACACCTCGGGAGTAAGGTTTTGTCCCCATTATCCGGACATCCCGTTTTACCAGTGTAAATCTTTAGATGCTTTACTATTAGACTCGGTTAAGCAGCTTCCACTGTATCAATTGTTTCGTTCGTTCCGGACATTAGGTACAGTAGACCCTCGGTATCCGAACAGCAGGAAGTTTGTTTAGTTTGTGAAAATTGTACACATTTTTGGAGCTTCTGACTACTCTAGTACTAGTTTTTTTGAAAGCTGTCGTGGTATTATGCCTTAGTGGCATGAACATGCAGTAAAATATACTAAATTACAAAATCCTCTATTTCACTTATCCGAACACCATACTTGAAATTCAAAGACAAGGTGTTCGGGTAATCGAGGGCGAACTGTACATATGTCCAAATTGCTGGACATTATGCAATTGCAGGTTGTCTAATTGATGTACAGCTTCATAAATTATCATTCAGGATGCATTGCATCCCTGTATCCATATCTTACCTAACCATAAGAGTAATTAAAGTAAATTATCGAAGTATATATATGAATGAGAGTATGTTAAATATCAGGAGGCCTTGTCTATTGCTACTTCGCTTATTAGTTTAATGGTATAACGCACATACTGCACTTGTGAATTCTCGGTTCAATTCCCAGATAAGCCTCTCTCTACTGCAATAGGCGCAATCCTCCTTTTTGGCAAATTCAGGGCCATTAAAGAATGGAATTGTGCATGATAGTATCCACTGCGTAGAAGTAAAGTAATTAGATGCTTATTAATAAGTCAAAGTCAAGGGGCTTGTAACTCTCTAAATGGTCCGGGCCGTGGAAAAATATGGCCGACATCAATAAATGCAATATTCTCAACTAATCTGATCGAAAATCGATTCAATAAGTAGATATCGATCTCAAGACCTAATCTAACAACCACGAGGAAGTTAGACATCAGTGACAACATACAGAAGTCTGAAACTAACTAATAATGATAATCATGACAATATTAGTGCGGTAGCTAAATCAGATGCGGGCGGTGGAGCTGAAATATGTTTCCAACTAACAGTGGATTAATATATTCTAATAATTGTGTACTTTGGTGAGTTCAACACTGCCAATATAAAACCCAATACAGGACCTTAGGCTCGGGTCCTGCCGGATTAATGGCATAGTATAATTATAATAGATTTAAGAGTACCAGAACGAATTTCTTTCTTGACAATCCAATAGTATCGTTAGTTAAGGAAATATAGCAGTAAGTACGTCCTACATTGCTTTCAAAATGATACGTGTATATTACAAGTGTTAGAAGTTGTAACGTCAATTATTAAATATATCAGGTTTTCAAATGTTAAATAATTATTGAAGTAGCCCCACAGATAGAACACGACCTGGTCGAAAGGTAGTTTAGAACTAACCAAGGTAATATACTTAAAAGCGAGATATTAACGATAGAGCATATCTAACAAATGTATAGCAAATAACAACATTAATGTGTTATCAAATATAAAACACTACAACGTCGTTAGAATCTACGAGTATAGTATACGTAACCAGCCAATATAACCAAATCAATAATATGCATAAAAGAAGTAGCAAATTTGTTTTAGAAGCTCAGAGAGAAGCTACAGTCTCTTGTGTTTACCGATTAGCCATTTGCAGTTGGGACAACGATGCTCCACATCTTTTAGCGAATCGATAACACAGGGTATCCAGAAGCAAGGCCAGCAAATGAGTAGGAATATTATTAGAGAAATCAAGATTGTGAGTGTACCTACTACAAAGTTTACTTCAGTTGTCACATGTTTGTGGCAGTTAGGACAGACACAAGCAACGGAGGATTCTCCGAAGCTAGTAGGGAGGATATTCACCACTTGAGGGGCAGGAGCGGGCACTGGTTGGGGTGGGTAAAGGTAGCCTGGATTTTGTGGGGGAGGAGGTCCATAGGGAGGAGGTTGAATCAGAGGATCTTTCTCAGTCATACTAACTAACGATAATTAATAAATATTCATTTAATTATTGTCATCACATTGATACTTATATGTATACGTCATGCCCTGTAGATGGTTCAGTTGGTAAGAAGTCCATCTGACCAACATTGGACACTTAGTAAGATGTTAGTTAACCGGATAAATCTACGTTACCCGTATTAGGTAAACCTGACAAATTGAAAACTGATTGCTATATGCTGCTGGATTGTATAGGAGCAGTTCAAACGTTACGTAACTTTACTTAGGGGGTGTCCAACCTGCATAACACCTTGTTTATGGTTTACGCTTCTAAATTTTTCATTTCCTGAGAGAACACTATACCGTAGTCTGGGGCTACTTTGGCCTACTGGGTTTGCTTTAGCCCAAATATCAGAGTTTCAAAGAAACTAGATTAGATTCAGTATTATACTTGAATATGACTTGGCAAATTTTTAACGAATTTTCAAATATCGTTAGACAATTTCGAATACAAATACAATATCTATTCGATAGGTAAGGAAATTTCAATATTTGGGCTAAAGCAAACCCAGTGGGGCCAAAGTAGCCCCAGTTTACGGTACCTCAAATTGATCTCAAATAATGTAAGTTAAATATTATAAGCCTACCTGATTTAATCAATTAATAATATAATTAGTACCATATTGTTGAGTTATATAAAGCTTCCCTAATTAGTACACTGGAGGCAAGTTAAATACTTCTAAAAATACAATGTGATAGATAGATAGACAAATATGGTATGCTAGATGTAATATGAGCAGAGGTGCCGGATGGATTATGGATAATGATGGCGGTCATGGTCTCACTCCGCAAAAAACGAGGGTAGATTTTTTGTTTATCAACGATTTGAATTTGAGATCCGTATTCCATATGGATATGTTATTCATATATGAAATGGATTACGGATTGGATTTGGACTATGATTTGGATCCATCCGGCCTATATTGTACGTACATACCTAAATCAACTTATAGAATCTGATTCTATATTAAAATCTCTCTGAAGGAATTTGTTCAGTTGTTTATGTTACGCAATTGAGCTCCATTTATGAAATAGGGAGCTGAATCTGGGCTCCAAAAGAATCGTGACACGGGGAAGAGAGGGACCCAAAATGCGTTTAGGGAATATTGCGTACATGCATCACGTAACGTTTGAACGGTCCCTTATAGAGCACTGATTTAGCTATCTTCCAGAATAAATTGTACGTAGGTGCTTAGAAGATATAAACAGATAATATGTATATATGCTTTAATATTTAAAGATAACTGGAATCATAATAATAATAATAATAATAATAATAATAATAATAATAATAATAATAATAACATGATTGTAGAGTTGAAAAAGAATTACTCCACGGTTAATAAGTGATGGATAATAACTACAGATCTTCTGTATCCATATGTTTAACACGAGCATCAATACTTATCGTAAAAGGAGATCTTATTTCACCGAAATCAACCACATCCTCTCCCTGACTCTCTCTCAGAGATTGTTGTCTCTTGAGAAATTCTTGGGTTGACGGAGGTCTAGACCCCCAAGCGGTGGGAGGCTTGTTAACAGAGGGGAGAGTGGAACCTGGAGTGATCGTGTTGCCTGGATTTAAACTATGACGTAATAGATCAATCTTCTCCATGGGTGTAGGGAGACGAGCTGGTGGATTAGTTTTAGGAGCCAATACACTTATTTGGTCTGGAGTTAGTTTAGGCATCGCATCATCCTCATCTTCCCCCTTTCCTTTTTTCTTTCCTTTCTCTTTCTTTCCTTTTCCCTTTTTCTCTTTCTTCTTCCCTTTCTTCTCTCCCTTCCCAGCTTTTTCTTCCTGTTTCTCTTCCTTAATTAATCCTCTAGCTACTAACAATGTATCACTATCTCCCCATTCATAGGCTATGTCCAGAGCAGTTTTTCCACTTTTGTTCCTGAGATCAGTCTTAGCACCTCTATCCAATAATAACTTAACCAAGTCAATCTTTGAGCTCTCCATAGCGCGCATCAGTGATGTACCTCCATGTATTGTCTGAGTGTTTATGTCAGCTCCTGATTCAATAAGACGCTGTACTATGTTTATGTGTCCTGCGTGCGATGCGTGGTGTATAGGTCGCCAGAGAAAGTTGTCAAACGCATTCACATCAGCACCTAAAAGCGTAATAGGTTAGGACATATTTCAGAGAGGGATATTTTATCCGTTTTATTGGACATATGTTGAATACACAGATTTATCTAAGAGCGCTCCTTTTGGCGTTTGATTTAGAGCAAAAAGACTTCTCTATCCTCCAAAATTCATATCCTAATTACAGGAAGTAGCAAGCAGATACGTACATATAAATTATACAGGTTGACCTATACTATACAAATATATAGAGCCAATAAAGTTAGTCCCGTTAACTTCTAACTAACCGCACCAAGGGCCATGTGATTTAGCGTATGAAAATTAGAGAGAGGAGAGTAAGGATCGTGCTCCCACGGACCTGTAAAACACCCTAGTTGAGTGCCATGACCCTCCAAACCAAGGTTTCATCCAGCTTTTCTGAATCATACGCCTAAAATGCTCCCATTCATTTTTATGCGAATTATACATGGAGTTACGAATTTCTACATCGTTATAGCCTAAATGTATCATTAAGAAGAACAAATTAATTAATAGTACAAACCTCTCTCCAGCAACCAGTCAACAACATCAATCCGTCCGTGAGCACAAGCCATCATCAGAGGCGTCTTATTAAACTTGTCTCTAATCTCAGTAGTAGCTATACCCCGAGTAAGGGCAGACTCTAGAGACACAAAGTCTGCCTGTTTAACCGCATCATATATGTTAAGATACTGTTTGTCAGGCTCAGGCATGTACCAATGGGAGTCATCTTGTGAAGGGTTAGACACCGGAGCATCTCGCGGAAATCTAATCGGATCTGAGCAATACTCCTCTTTTAAAATCATATGGTCAGGTATATCAGGACGAGGACCACTCTTGGGAGTGATTGGAATGTCAAATGGTATCTTTAACTTTTTCCCTTTCTTTCCGCCTTTCTTGCCTTTCTTACCCTTCTTGCCTTTCTGAGATTTTCCTAGAGATTTTCAAAATATCATAATCATTTACATATATATACACCGAAGTAACATACAGTGTGTTACTGTATTTGTGTAATCATAGCTATGGTGTAATAGAAGCTATAATAAATTATTAATCTGAGGACCGCGATTATTACTTCGATATAACCAATAAGTAACTTTAACGGTTTGGGGTCAAATTTTAAGACTTCGAAATAAGCAGATGTACATGTGTCTGTGTTGGAACAAGGAAGTTAGGAGCCTATAATTAGCCCACCTCAACCAGACGTAATGTTAGTGTATTCTAAATTGGAACTGATCAAAATTCTCAATCGAGGCTTTCGCATTATTAAACCCGAATTTCCTTATTAAAATGACAGAATTAATTTATTAGTATCTATGGATATATTGTAATCCCACCAGTTAAATCATTAGCTGATATCTTATATGAGAAGTGTAAGTATTTGTTCTCTTGTAAGAAGGTCTTGAAGGGAACAGGAATATCTTTATTCTTAGTCAAGAGATTTAGGAGATTTTCTAGTTCGTCTTTCTCAGCAGGAGCACCAACTTCTAACAGACACTAAATGAAATGAAAATTTGTAATTACCCTTAGAAAAAAGGTGTGAAAATGTAATTAA